GTACGTAGTACATGTCTGTCCACAACACAAATACAAGACACCCACACATAGCCATTACTTCATTTCTCGGCATGCATGTGAAAATCTTAATCTACACTATAGTTAACAAACAGAAATCTGTTGTCTATTAAGATACTGATACAGATACTATTAAGATGCTACAAATCTGTTCATTATTACTTATAATTTAAGATTTGGTATAGATGGGGCAAGACTAGTCTCGCTGCCCAGACCCTCCGTCTACGGTCATTGGGGTGTCCACCCCAATGACTGCAGGCGGAGGGTCTGGGCAGCGAGACTAGGGCAGACTACACAATTTGTAGCATAACTAATTTTTCATATTAGCAAAATAAAAGTTACAACTACCAGCATTATGTAAATAGCATATGAATATGTATTATATATATATATATATATATATATATATATATATTACATAATAATGTCTCGCCAACTGCATGCAATAATTGTTTGTAAAGCTACTTTAAAACCTCAACTTACCTAAATAGTAAGCTCAACACTAGTAGCTGTGCCGCTGACGCCACAGTAGTGGAGTATAGACCCAGGAGGTGCAGTACAGAATACAGATATCCTCCATCTTGCCTTCAAGATGTGGTGGTGTTGCTGGAATCTAGTTGCCATGGGTACCCTATATACCATAGAGTATTATGCTACCTCATGAAGCACTCACGAGCAGTTGTACAACTATATTTCACGAATATTTCAATAGGTCTTACAATATTATTATGACGTTATTTCCTGTACGTATTGGGTGAAATTATTAATTGGGCGTAGCATGGGCGTCAACCTAGGGGAGCAGATCTAAACAAAGGCGGATCTCATCTTTGCACAACATGTCCGAATACCCGATACCCGAAGCAGAAGAAACAGGAACTCGGGACCGGGTGGGTAGAATAAACTGAACTATTTTTTACATTTTGACTTTAATTCTATTCTACAGCGTGATGATCTTGTAGTGTCCTTGAGCAGCTCAGCACACAGCACAGTACCTGATCACTTTTCGGAGTCCACACTTTTAAAAGTCTCTCCTACCTATTTTAAAGAAGTAATTATGACAGGAAAGGTTTCCTTGGCCATTTTCCTGCTGATTGTAAATGGTTTACCATTCTGTCGCAAATCAGATGCCATCAACAAAGGATTCCTTTCAGAATGTCGCGCTGATGAAAAAAGGCCAAAGCATGGTCTGTCTGTTTATGAGTTTGCTTCTGATGAATATGTGAAGTCTGGTCCATCCTATAAGCCAGGGCTAAGATATACCAAAATATCATCAAAAAATTGTTACCTGCGAGCTATGAATGCTGGAATGGCTCAAGTTGCAGCTGATGCTGGGGCAATGGTTGTGCAGTATGAAGGAGATTTTCAAATTTGTTTACCTGAACATTTGAAGTTCAAAAATAACGACCTAAATGATCACTTTCAAAAAATGTTTTTACAACTTAAAGACAAAAAGAACACGAATGGCATATGGGGTATTCAGGGTTTCGTATTGTTTAATTTATGGGATATTGGTCACAATCGCACAATATATCATTTCCTTCCTACTTTACATGGTCATCTTCACCATAGCTATTCATGGCTATTTTTTGATTTACACCGTGACTCTCAAAATTTATACAAGCCATTGGGGGATCACATGAAACATCGACCACGTCTTCATTATCTAATTCGCTCTGCCAAATTGAATTTACCAGCAGAAAAAAAAGTTTGCTCTATGTTTGCTGTAGTTCAAAATGATGCCACAGTTGATGATAAAATTTTGCAGTCAGTTAAACAAGACTTTGAGAGTGCTGCAGCACAAATTGGTGTCAGTGAAATCATTGATTTTGATGATGTTACACCATTGCAGCCAGATACGAATAAGTGCAAACCAGTAATCCAACAGAAAATGGATGCACTTATTTCTCAAGAACTGAGAGACAGGTATAACATACCATTTTCGTTTATTTTTCTTCGGAATCTATACTACAAAAATGATAGCATTGTATACATAAAAAAAGAAGAAGTTAAAAAGGTGGCTGAAGAGCTATGCATTGTTGATGACAAGTTTAAGGAGTTCTGTGAGTTTTTTACCTCATGTGGTAGCATCATTGATGTTTCATTGATTGATGAAGAATCAGAATATATCGTATTGAAGCCAAGCAAATTTCTTGAGGAAATAGATAAACTATTTCATACCAACGACCAAATGTTAGCTGACAAGGGAATTCTTACACTAGCTAATGCAGAGAGGTTATTTCTTCGATCTCATGCTGATGCCTACACGAAAATTCTTGTTTCATTTAGTTTAGCCGTTGAATTAAAGGAAGATCAAGTTAAAATTCGTAATCCAGATCACAGCACTGCTAACAATATAGTTTGGTATCTTCCAGTTATTCGTTGTACCACACCACTTCATGATGAAACTAAACTAAGACGAAACGTTCTTCGGTTGCTGCGAAGTTACAATTCATCTCTTGTTCATTTGCAAGCATCTTTTGTCACACACTTTCTCAAGATGAATAGAAAGTCAAAAGTGTGTGTTGAGGCTGAGACTCCAGTTAATGTCACAATAATAGAAGCATTTTATAAAGATGAGCAGTCCATTACGTTTGAAGTCGTATATTTTGGAAACGCCCTTGAGTTTCGCACTTCTGTAGCAAATAAAGAAATTTTCTCTCAAATAATTAGTACCTGCCACAAAATAATGGAACTAGACATAAAGACAAACTATAATTTTGCAATGTTATGCTCCAAAGACCCTAGCCATAATGATTCGTATAAGCTAGTGAGAGATCGCCACCTTCTACCTTTTAACATAACTCAGTGTGATGAGTGCATGAAAAATAGACGTGATGAAGATAAAGTTCTTTCCATGTGGAATGAAGCTGTAGCAGTAAGTCAAATGCCATTTATGTATAACTATTTTGTTTATTATTAGAATGATCCTGTCAAAGATAGAATACTTAATGGAGGTAAGAATGTAATTACAGCAATTACAATTGTATTACTTCACTGTGATTTTAATGATAGATACAATTCTTTGGGATGATGCTTCCAACATTGCCAATAATCTCAAAGGACTTGACAACAGTACCATTAAGGTTCTTACTCAAAAGTTAGAAGTGAGCCTTGACAAAGTAGCCAATCTTTCAGATTGGAAGTTACCCATGGCAATACTTATGGAATGCGAGAAAAAGTATACAAAAGCTCTTTCAAAAAGGCAGTTTGCAAGATGGCTAGCAGAAGTGGCTGATGAGATCACTGAGCCAAAAAAAGATCAGAGAATGTTACGTAGAACTGTAAATTTACTTGATAAAGAAAGTGAGTCATATTGTAGCTTATATGCATTGCTTTATGAAATATTTTGTAGTTCTAAAAGCTCCACCTGAGGGTCTAGGGAATATTGAAGCCCGTGATGGCAGTTATCATGGCACTGATGATCGAGATGAAATGGATCAATTTCAAATGGATTACTGAGAAATTTGCTGTTATTATTAAATATTCATCAAACACATGCACACAGCCACACACTGATATACATGTACATTATTTGCTGCTGCTTAGCTACTGATCTAGTCTCACTAGCCAGACCCTTGCAAGGGTCTGGCTAGCGAGACTACAGCTGATTTAACAATTATACTTTTTATGCCCCCTTTTATTATTTTATGCACATCATGCACACACTGATGTAAGCTTACAAACTTGAACAATTGCTGCTACTTAGATGCTGACTGCTGTATATTTTTACATGTAGCAATTACTCTTTGAGTAATTGAGTTTTGTATTTTTTATATTAATTTTTTAAAATAAATGCATCAATGCCATCTCTAGATCTAATGTAGCTTTAGGGCGGGGCTAACCACACCTATATCTATCCGCGAGGAAAAATGGCTGCTCCAGTTGTAATGCCTTACGCTGATCCATCAGCTCATCACGTATCACTGGGACTGGATCAACCAGTATCCACTGGCGTAAGTATCACTAAAACATATTACCTCTCATTAATGAGCTAAATAATCCTCTTACTCCACTACAGACCACAATAATGGCCGTTGAATATGATGGAGGTGTCATTATTGGAGCTGATTCCCGCACTACATCAGGGTATAACTATTAGTATTATACAGTATTAATGCACTGTGTGTATATATTAGGTCGTATATTGTTAATCGTGTGACTGATAAATTGACTCCTATCACTGATCGGATATTTTGCTGTCGTTCAGGGTCAGCTGCTGATACCCAAGCCATTGCTGATGCTGTGAAATACAATCTACAATTATTGAGGTAAAGAGAAATAGAATTAATGCAAACAACGATTGAATTTCGAAAGTCTATTTTGACATAAATTCTCCCTCTCTCTTTAGTATTGAGCTTAACGAGGCTCCTTTGGTAAAGACAGCTGCTCATTTCTTTAGGCAATATTGTTACAAGTATCGTGATAATTGTACTGCTGGTATATTATGTGCTGGCTGGGATAAAAGATCAGGAGGGCAAGTATGTGCATGTGTATACAATTGTGACATAATTTTATTATATTTTCTGATACATATTGATGTTCTTAATCCTTATGCTATGTAGAAAGTTTGAGCTAAATTTTTTTTAGTTATGGCCATTTTTAAATATTAGAAAATTTTTGGGAAAAAGTAAAGGCCATGATTTTTTCCGAAAAATGGCTGCAAAATCACCCCGAATTTTTATTACATTTTTTGATACATATCGATGTCCTTATGTTGTGTAGAAAGTTTGAGCTGATTCTGACTAGAATTCTTCAAGTTACGGCCATTTTAAGAAAACGTCAAAATTCTGAAAAATACCCAAGGCTATAGCCCATGCTTTTTTCCAAAAAATGGCTCCGAAATCACCCCAAATTTTTATTACATTTTCTGATACCTATTGATGTCCTTATGCTATGTAGAAATTTTGAGCTGATTCCGACTTCAACTTTTCAAGTTATAGCCATTTTTTTAATGGGCCAATTTTTGAAAAATACCCAAGGCTATAGCCCATGGTTTTTTCCAAAAATTGGCTCCGAAATCACCCCCAATTTTTATTACATTTTCTGATACCTATTAATCTCCTTATGCTATGTAGAAAGTTTGAGCTGTTCCTGACAAAGAATTTTCGAGTTATTAGCATTAAAAAAACAAACTAGTAGCTCCCTTAGCATGCTTTGTGGGGAATCCCCTGCATTTAGATTGTAATTGTATTAATTTCTTTGCTTTTTTTGTTAAAGGTGTATTCTATTCCATTGGGTGGTATGTGTATACGTCAACCATTTGCCATTGGAGGTTAGCAATAAATTAATGATATCATTTACTAATGTCTAATAGCAATAACTTACCTTTTGTCTTCGTCTTTTTACCGTCACAGGCTCTGGCAGCACTTACCTGTATGGCTATTGTGATGCTCATTTCAAGGCTGGGATGAATAAAGAGGAATCAATTGAATTTGTTAAAAACTGTAAGTACATTAACTAGAAAATATTAAAGTGAAACAAGTACAGTTATATTACTATTCATATTATTCTTTTATTACAGCTGTTGCATTGGCTATATCACGTGATGGTAGTTCAGGTGGTGTTGTACGTATTGCTGTTATCAGTGAAGACGGGGTTGAGAGGTTGTTGTTTACTGGCAAAGACATTCCTCAGTATAATACTGACATGTAGTCCAATCAGTGACTAACTTATAATAGGCATTCATTGAATAATAATGATCATTATTATTATTATGATAATTTGCATAATTGTACAAGGTCAGAAGTCAGCGTGTATACTATACATGTAAATGAAGATAAAAATTATCATTAATTTAAAAGGACTAGGAGGGGTACCTATCATACTACACATATTTTTGACAAAGTAAGTTTGAAATTAAGCAGCTTAAAGCAGGAAAAATTAAAACAGAGCGCAAAATTTTTAGTTTTCACACAAAATAATAACAGTAGCTTAAGTCATTCGTCTTTTATAGCATCACATAGTTTTCTAGCAAGATTTTTAAATTCTTCTTTTTTAAATAGAATTTTTTTAATTATTGTGACTAGTACTTCATGATCAGCCTGGATAAGCTGGGTCAGTGTAATCAATAAAGATGTTGCCTTTTCTGCATCTGCTGTTTCACCTTCTATTGCATTTCTAAAGCATTCAAATGGAATGACTTTTTCTGTGTATAGCATTGTAGCAAAGTTTATTCTATTTGATCGTATAGACATCAGGTTTGACATATCAGAGAAATGTTCTCTAAAAGCTTCATTCGCTGTTGCAGAATCTATTTGCTGTGGTAATCGAGGTTGCTGTCCTAAAACAATGTATCAATACAAATGGTAATTGTATTTTTGTTATATACTTGGATTTGGAGGTTCAAGTGAGGTATTTTGTGAAATACTGACATTACTTTCAACTATAAAAGTACAAAATAAAAATTCTTGGGTATGAAATCTAGCATTTTAAATTTATGTACCTGTATTCCCAGGGATGTTTTTCAGTTTCCCAATGATGCGGAGTGTTAGTGGTTGTTCTACAATGCCTTCCACTGGAACATCATAAATAACTGTTGGTACAGTATCTGGATTATTACTAGCAATTAACGATATCATTCGTTCTGGTGGAAATGAATTACAACCATGACCAAAGTTGTCAATTTCTGTCCTATATATCTATATACAGATTTGAGATCAAGTTCATGAAAAAATTTAAAACTTTACTTGACATGGATAAATACGAGGGCATATAGTCCAGCCTGTAATAGGTGCCTTTTGCTCAGCATCAAATTTTAATTCAATGCGTCCTGGAAATATTGGTATTAGAGTAAAATGAAAGCTTTGATATGTCTCAGACTCAGCGTATCTGCTATTAATATGCTAATGTTTTTGTAAAATTAAATCATTCTAAATAAATTAGTTACCTCGAGAAGTGCATTTAAGTCTTTAGTTGCAGTAAATGTCAAAAGATCTTTTTCTTTTTTATCTTTGTAATAAAGTAGCCCTGTATGTTTTGTGTGTCTTCTTATACCAGATATGACTAAAATGCATACATACATACCAGGGTTGGGGCGAAGTTCTTTGAAAAGTACTTAAGTAAAGTCCAAGTACATTTACAAAATACTTAAGTATAAGTACAAGTACATATACCTTTTTGATAATAGTACTTAAGTATAAGTTCAGGTATTTTGATATGTACTTAAGTACAAGTATAAGTACTTTTTAAAGTAGATTTAATTATACAATTATAATCAATTTATTAATTATTATTACACCTAATAAACATTAATTCTTCAAAACGTGAATCCTTTAAGTTACATCGTTCAGGTCTATATAGTTTACCAGCGATGCTAAAAAGACGCTCCACTGGAGCTGATGAAGATGGCACACCCAAGATCTCTTTAGCCAACATTGAGAGACGAGGAAATTTGTCCATTTCTCTTTTCCAGAACTCAGTTGGATTTACATCCATCGAGACACACTTAGATTGTAGGTAACTATTTACTTCATCTTTCAGAGAAATAGACTGAGACTGCAATTGCAAGGAAGGCTCTGGCATAAAACTAAATAGTGATTTGGCTCTCTTTGGCTGTGGGCTACATTCAGCTTCTTCAATAGAATTTGATGGCACTAGTTGTAGACATTCGTTATTCTCTAGTGATGAAATTATGATCTCAGTAAATTCCTTCTTCTCATCTTCATTCAGACACCATCGTAACTTAAATCTGGGATCTAAAATTGCTGCTTTAATGTAGACTTCATTTTCTTCATAACATGCTAACCGCTTACTTAAAGATTGCTTGAGTACTTGTACAAAGGCTGAGTGATACTTGGATATCATGCCATGTATATGGTGGTTAAGTCCTCTTACACAAGGTATGACATAACCTGCTGACGGTACACAACTGATCTGAACAAAGTCTGTAGCCTCTTCAAACGGCTGCAGTATCTCTACAATGTCACGCAGTACATTTCTCTCATGTGCTGTTAATTTTGGAGCATCATCTAATTCAGCTAGCTTCCTCTCAGGTCCAGATAAGACCGACCTAATCATTTTAAGCTGAGAGTTCCATCTGGTGGCATTACTAGCTTGCAATTTTCTTTCATCTTTTAGCACATCAGCAGCAATTGTAGACTTCCTTACATAGGACACAAGGTTGGAACACTTTTTAATAGTGGTCCCAATTGAGCCTGCCTTTGTGAGCCCATCTTTTACAACTAATTGCAACGTATGTGCAAAACATGAATGGTGCTCAATAATAAGATCAACAGAAACAGATTCATTCTCATCACTTTCTTCATCATCACTGTCAGTTGGTGAATCTTCATTGTAACCTGGTAATATGAGACTACGGAAGGCTTTCTTTATGTTAGCTCCACTATCAGTGACTATGTGTCGTACTTTGCTGCTTATACAAAAATCAGCAACAATCTCATGGTACCATGATAAAATGTTATCGCTGGTGTGCCTTCCAATGACACGACGGCAGCCAAGCATGACTGACTCCAGTGTCCATTGATCTGAGATGTAATGACCCGTAATTCCGATGTATGCTTTCATCTGGCGATTTGACCAAAGGTCTATAGTAAGATGGATGACTTCAGCCTTTGAAAGCTTCTCCAAAACCTTTCTCTTAACAGCAGAGTACTTATTCCTAAGTAAAACGCCCGACAATTGTTTTCGACTTGGAATTTGATACATGGGATCCAGTGTTTCTATAAACATCTGAAACTTAGTACTATCGACAATGGCAAGTGGAATAAGATCCTCAGCAATGAAATCAATGAGAGCACTATTAGCTTGTATCTGCTTCAGGTTCTTCGAATCATACTTCTTGTGATCCTTAATGATATGACTTAGTGTTAGCTGTGAGGCCTGCGATTCTTCTTGTTTTAATTGTAGTGGATGCACACGGTTCTAGATAATAAGATTATTATGAAACATTGACATGCACGTACTATGCATCCTACCAGATGTCTCCACCAGTTTGTAGTGACTTTCACAGATGCTGTGATACTTTTGGAGCAGTATTTACACTGAGCTTTAAAGTCTCCAGAAGGTAATGATTCAGGGACAATATAGTGCTGAAGTACTGCTGGATGTTTAGAAGTAGTACATGTACTTTGGCTCAGTGCCTCAGCCATTAACAACTACAATTACAGACAAGTGAAGAGACTGCTTCTGACTTCTCAGTTCAAGACAAAGTAGTAGTGTGCCGGATCCAGTGATGCACGTGAATTTGCGCCTGCTTTCTGTTATACACTGATAATACTGATATAGTACATGTAATCACACCAGCTGTGTTGATAATACACACTTTATATGATAAGTACTTAAAAAGACTTAGAAGTACTTAAAAAGACTTATAAGTACATCAAGTACATCAAGTACATAGACTAATACTTAAGTATAAGTACAAGTACATTGGTAAAATTTAAAAAAGACTTAAGTATAAGTACAAGTACCAAAAAATATGTACTTAAGTGCACTTAAGTACAAGTACCAATGTACTTCGCCCCAACCCTGGTCTCAACAAATCCTGAACATACACTTCTCCAATAGCTGGTATCATTAGTAGAAAATAAAACACAAAATGACGACGAAAAACCTATGCAGCACAATCGCAATGCATGTAACACAAGAACAAAAACTGACTTTAGCTAGCAAAAACCAACATTTTTTCTTCGATTCTTCAAAGTATGGTGGTAAAACAAACATTGCCATCTGCATCAATGCTTTGAAATCCTTGCCAACGAAAGATTTGAAATAAGAGATGTTACTGGATATTCTGCAAGTAAAACCACACAGTGAAAAAGCTTTAATACGGGCCATCATCTCCTTTCCTCTTGCCGTTTTATGGTCCATGAACTTCCGAAGCA